AAGACAGAATGTAAAATGAAGGAGTTTAAAGTCCAATAAAATGTTTATGTGGGCTCAGAAAGGCTTGAGGAAATGTATCAGGGTGACAATAATCACGTTTTCATAAAGGAGGTACTACTTGATTTAGGCCTTGAATAATGGTAAACTTTTAATAAGCAGAGACTAAACTGGGAATTATCCAAATGAGGGGAACTAAATCATATGGCAGACAAATAAGAAAAGATGAAGATTAGATAAATGAAGGCATCTACTTGGGCTGAAACATGACTTATCTAAGAAAAGCAGAACCTCTTAAGAAAGGTAAGAACATGTAGGCTAAAATTTTAGAGGACCTTGAATACATTCCAAATTGAGAGTGCTTTTCAAGTGGATTGAACACAGTAATGACTACCTAAATAGTGCTTTAAGGATATTTATCTGATGTCAAAGTTGAAATGGTCTGGAATGAAAGAAAAGAATGTGAGGGCCCATTTTTTCTTTTGTTTTTTAACGTCTGATTTAAGTGGTTCTAGTGAAAGAGAATGTAAGAAAACTGAATAAAGAAAACTAAACATCAAGTAATAAAATACAATGCAAATGGAAAAATTCATAAAGTATTTCTATAAAAGCAAGTTTATGAATATAGAGGTGGGGAGAGATATTTACAGAGTAATTCTGTCAAGTTATCAATCTTGTATTGATATAAACATTTCATATTAGGTGATATTTTTAATAAATCCTTGAGAATGTATAAATGTAGATGAAATGAAGAAAAGCAACACAGGATGCATAATGGATGCAAAATTGGCAGAGAATGAATGATTGGAGATAAGATGTAAAGGGAAAAGAGATACAGATAATAACAGTTGTCACTGATTAAGCAATGACCACATGATTCGAGCTATGGTAAGAGTTTTAAGTACATTTTCACTTTGGTTGATCATATCTCTAAAATTTTCTAAAGTTGATCATATCCTGTGTGCCCCTTTGCAGTAAGACCTTGGCACTCTCCTATCAGGAAGTGTAGTTTATTTTCTACATCCTTGAAAATGATCTGCACCCTCCCTTGCCTATTTTTACCAAAAGAATATAGTAGAAATTGTATTGATTAATTTCCAAGACTGGGCCTTAAGAGATCGTTAGCTGTGACCTTTACTTCTTTAACATTCCTTGGAACCTAGGTGCCATTCTGTCTCCCTATGAGTGCCAGGAGATGAGAACTACAGCCCCTGACAGTTAGCCATCAGCACCAACTGATAGCCCCGTGAATGAGGCCATGCTGTACTTGCCTGCTATCCCCGCTCTCCCACTGAAGAAATGAAGCATCATCTGGTCAATCTATAGACTCATGGTAAAATAATCTCGTCTCTAAAACCACTAATTAGGGCCTCCCTGGTGGTGCAAAGTGTTAAGGACAGCACTGTGAAGCTATCTGCAGTCTTTGCAGCATGAGTTAGATCTCCAACTGGCCAGGGAGCTACCCACATGTTGCAGCAGACCTCTCCTGCCATACCCGCTGCTCCCCTCAGCTGTGTATTTCAGTAGATCCTCCTGTTCTATTCCCCACTCTGTCTCTGATGAATCCTTGTACCCCCTGCACCTCTGGCCTATACCCTAGCTCTTGTATGCATAAATAAATAAATCTTTTAAAAAATAAATAAAACCACTAATTATTGAAGTAGCTTTTTATGCGTGATAGGGAACAAAAGTATTTTTTTACAACAATCCTGCCAAAGTATTTACCTTTATTTCGTAGATGAGCAAATTAGAGATCAGCAAGGTTAAGTAACTTATCCAGTGATACAGCTTCTAAGTAGAACTGAGAAGAATGTAAGCAATGCAACCTGAGGGACTGAGTGATTTGTAAGGCTACTAACTAAAATAAAATCAAAATGAGGAGTTTATTAGGAAAATATCAGATAATGTGTAGTTGCTATTTCCTGTAACATCAGAATTTTATTTATTTGTTTGTTTATTTATTTATTTTTGTGGGACCCTCACCTGTGACTGGGGAACGAACTGGCGCAGCAGAGGCTGCGGGAAGCCTTGCAGCCCAGCGCTCAACCATTGCGCCACCAGGGGAGGCCCAACATCAGAATTTTAAACAAAACAGAGTAAACTGATAAAGTGTAAGACAAAATTATCCAAAATATGGAGTACAGAAATCTCAAGAAACAGAGGCAGTCAATCACCTATTTTTACTGCCTTGAGGGCATTAGCGTTCTTTAGAGAGAAGCAAACTTGTAAAGAAAGGTTCAAAGATTGAAACCAGATGAGAATATTTTACAACAGATTTAGTTCTTCTACATGTGAATATCAGCTATTCTTCCTTTTTTTCCTCCCTACTTTCCTTTCATAATTATTTACAGTAAGCATAAACTAAGCTTATTTCTGTTGTAGGTTCTGAAGCTATCATGACAAATCACTCTATCACGCCTGTTGCCTAGAAAAGCACTGGAGACAATCAGAGAGAGAGACACTAGGAAGGATATACAAGGAACTCAAGGGGAAGTGGGAGACTCACCCCCTCAAACACAGCAGGGAAGGTGAAAAGAGTTAGTCAAGGAAGGTTCCCAAAGGTGATAATGAGTAAGTGCAGACATTTAGGATGAGAAGTAGATCATCTTCACCTCTTAAAGGTGAGAGTAACCAAGGTCACCTACAAAGGTCTGAACTAAAAAGAGTGGAAGGTCTTTCAACAATGAATTTGGTTTGTACTCTCTTAGGAGTGCCACACTGTGCTGGTCTTGAGGAGAAGAGCTAGAAATGGTGAGTCTGCAGAAGGAAGCAGAGAATAGAATATGGGAGGTGTTTCATGCTATGCTCAGTTGACTTTAGGCCAAATGAAAATCTCTGAACAAGGGGTTTTAAGGAAGGAAGTCACATGATCCTACTTTCCTCTTAGAAAGATCATGTGGAATGCAATGCAGAAAAAATTAAGGGGATAAATTATTGGCAGAACATGAGCTAGGAGGCTATATTTGCAATAACATAAATTGGGAAGTTACTAATGATGCAAAAGGCTAATGAGGTGTCAGTGAAAGAGAGAGTAGGTGAATTCAAGAAACAAAGATTTGGGGACCTGGTGAAGAAGCAAATATGATTTGTTCCCCTAAAGTCTGTTACAAACCCATAACATATGATGATATTATTCATCCATTTTTCCATAGAATTACTGTTTAGATTGTTATGTAATGGTAATGATGAATCTAAAAATTTCTACAACACACCAAGAACTTACCATGTGACAGTCACAGTACTTTATGTGTATTTTCTCATTCAATCTTCCCAGTGACCCTGTGAGGTGGGTACAATGATCTCACTTTACACATAAGAAATGTGACACATTATTAGCTATATCACTCAATTTTGGTTCACTCAATAAACACATAACATTACTTATTTGCATGTACCAGTCACTGTTATAGTGGTTACAGAGGACAAGGGAAAAACACATGATATTTTCCCTGGAAACATTCATAGCTAAGTGGAAAAATTGAGTACTGAGAAGTGGTAATATTCTACTATGATGTACTAAGTGTCATCACAGCAGTCTGGCCCAAGAACTGAGGAAGGATTCTGGAAATGACCATCTTAACTAAGGATTCATCCATCAGCACACATATTCCAACAGTAAAATAGAAGCCAATAGCCGGGCTATTGTCTGCAGATGGGTTGCAGATAGGTTGACTGCGCCATGAATAAATTCCCTTCTTCATGGGAGAACAGGGGTACAGAGTGGGTAGATGAGTTAAGGTAGTATAGGTCAGTGCAGCATCTGAAGGAGGGCATTTCAAATAAAATCCAACTCTTGTTCCACTGAGCACATCATGTCTCTGAAGCAGGCCTAGATCTGCCCAGAGGAAAGCACCATATGAGCAGTGGCAGCTCTGGCAAATGGACTTGTTCAGTAAAGGGAATACATGATTAGCTTGCTTACTTCCCTGTTGAAGTTTCCTTCCTGAAACTATCTTCAAGTTTTCAAACCCTGTTCCCGACTTAGATGTAATGCAGATAGGTGAGCTCAAGGAATATGATATGTCAGGGCCTTTTGGAAACTAAGGAACTTTAAGGGTCTAAGACAAATATATTCAACTTAAGCTGCATGAAACATGGAGAATCCACAGGTATTAGCTGATACACAGATGTTTCCAAAACACTATTAAGAATTCACTGTTTTTCTCAATCTTGCTATGTGCAGGCCATTAATATCAATAAAACTACTGTAAAATTTTATAGTCCTTGTTTTTATTTCATACTCAATTAATTTCCAAGCATTAATAAAATGATCATTTTTGCTTGTGTATCTTTACACTATGGCCTTAAAAAATACTATAAATATATTATAATAAAATGACAGTAAACATTTACATGAGTTCAGTGTTTTCATTTTCTTATGTGTCTCTTTCTTTGCAAGATTAAAATTAAAAAGCATGGTAAACTGTGAAGCACTGAGCATTCAAATAAAGTTTAGAGCCCAAGGTTATTTGTATAGAAAGAATCGTGGGGATCTTACCTCTAGAATCTTGAGCCCAATTGGAAGGAATGTAAGACTCTCCTTTGCAGCTGAGCTGCAGTGGCCAAGGAAGGCCTTGTGTGAAAAATAAGAGGGTCAAAACTCTCTCCTAACATAAGCAAGAAGGTGAGAAAGATAGGATAGCTAGGAGGAAGTAAAAGCAGTCTGTACTAGCTTAGCTTTATGGTATCTTATTTATTATTTCAGTTATTATGTATATTTTGTAGGCAAATTTTATTGTACTAATTAACTCATTAACAACCTCTAGAGAGAAGCCAGACTTCTCTGCAGACTGGTTTGCTGAATTTTAATGACCCAGCAAAAGAGAAAAATCAGTGTGTAAGGTTCTGGAAAAGGCCCAGGACTCTACGCACAGATGATTTACTCCATGTATCATAATTATAGAGAAGTGTGAATTGAAGATTAAAATAGAGAATGAATGATTCCTTAATATACTTACAACACAGTAGGTATGGTTAATTTAAATAAGCAGCAATAATGGCATTTAAACACTTTAATATTTTTTAAAAATCAGTTGATTTTGTACCCCTTCCCTTTCCCCTTCCCCATCCATACATACACTTCTTAGTTGGGGCAGGAGTCAGCTAATTCTGAAGTCTACTCAAGTGAAGCTGGCAGGGGGTTCTCAGAAGGTAGTGTGAGGTAAAGAGTGGGCAGGAAGGACTTGGGGCTATGCTTGGGATAGCATAGTCTCCAAAGGACCGATCATTTATTTGGCATTTCTGATGTGACTGATGATATTTTGAATGGTGTTCAGTGTGGTACTCTGGCCTCCAATATCTGGGGTAAAGGTATCTTTGTTCTTCAAGGAAGTCAAGACTGCAGTACGAATGGTGGTGGCATAGGTCTCGAGCTGGAGGTAATCCAGCATAATGCAACTTGTCAGCAGCATGGCAGTAGGGTTGGCAACATTCTTATTAGCTATACTCTTGCCTGATTGTCTTGCAGCTGTTTCAAAAACCGCAAATAGTTGGCCATAGGCAGCACCTGGCACAAGACCTGCTCCCCCAACCAACCCCAAACAGACATTGTTGATAATGCTGCCATAGAGATTGGGTGTCACCATGACGTCAAACTGCTGGGGCTGGGATACCAGCTGCATGGTGGTGTTATCCACAATCATGCATTCAAAGGTGAGCTGAGGGTAGCAGGACGCCACCTCCTGACAGCACTGGAGGAAGAGACCATCTCCTAGTTTCAGGATGTTGGCCTTGTGCACAGCTGTCACTTTCTTGCGCCCCATCTTCTGGGCCAGCTCAAAGGCATATTTGGCGATGCGCATGCACCTGACCTTGGTGACGATCTTTAAGCTCTCTATCACTCCCTTCACACTCTCATGCTCCAGCATGCTGTATGCACCCTCTGTGTTTTCCCGAACAACTAAGATGTCTATATTCTTATGCCAGGTCTCCACACCTGGCATGTTCTTGAAATGGATAACACTTGCATAGAGATCTAGACAGGTGCGAAAGATGTTGTTGCGGGATTTGTGAGATGGAGGCAAATTGTAGTCAGTTTCAATGTTACCCTTCAGGGCCACACGGTTTCGACGGACTGCCAAGATGGCATTGTGAAGGTCCTCTTCAGAAGAACTGGAGTTAACCTTCACTTCTTCAAAGTCCACAGGCACATTTGCATGTCTGAAAACATTCTGGACTTGAAGCATAAGTTCAGGACCAACGCCATCCCCAGGAATAATGGTCACAGTGTGCCGCCCACCATATTTGGCTGATGGAGGAATACTCTTCTGAAATGAAGAACTCCTCATGGAGATCTCATGGCCAAGCAGAATCTCCCAAGAACGTTTGAGAATTGTAGGTTGGAAAAAAGTTTTCACAGAGCAACTCACAGCTGTTAGAGTCTTCAGCGCCATGATTATTAAGTGGAAAATTAATGTACATAAGAACACATTTTCTTTCTCTCACCTTGAACTGGCTTCTTTTGGTGGAATTCTAGATCCATAATTCTTTCTTAGGTCATAATTGGCTTTCCTTCTCTGTACTCTATTTTGAACAGACTGCAGTGAGAAAGAACTAATCAGGAAAATATGGGATGTGTTATGTAGTAGAAAATACATTTTGAAATTGAAGAGAAACTCATTAGGCACATCCAGTGTGCACAGTTCTGTAAGATAAACTCTTTTAAAAAAAATGGTAGACTTCATATGTAGGAATATTTTAGGTTCACAGCAAAATTGAATAGAAAGTACAGAGATCTCATACAGAGTCTGCCCCCCCAAAGATAAAGCCCCACTACCCCATCAAAAGCCCTCACCAAAGTGACACATTTGTTACAATTGATGACCCCACACTGACAGATCATTATCACCCAAAGTCCACAGTTTAAAATTAGGGTTCACTGTTAGTACAATACATTCTTTGAGTTTGGACAAATGATAACATATCTATAATTACAGTATCACACAGAGTGCTTTCAAAGTCTTAAAAATTCTCTCTGCTTAGCCTATTCATCCCTCTCTCTCTCTGAACTCATGGTAGCCACTGATCTTCCTAGTGTTCTATAGTTCTGCATTTATCAAAATGCCGTAATATAATTAAAGTGCATGATTGGTTTATTCATTTAGAAATATACATTTAAATTTCTTCCATGACTTTTCATAAAATGCTGGCTAATTTCTGTTAGTACTGTATAATTCAATTGTCTACATGTACCATAGCTTATTCACTCACCTACCAAAGTTTTGGCAACTATGCATAAAGTGGCTATAAATATTCATGTACAAGTTTTGTGTGAACAGAACTTTCAACTCCTTTGACTAAATAAGTAGAACTGTTGATCCTATGGTTAAACCATGATTGGTTTTGTCAGAAACTGCTAAATTGTCTTCCAAAGTTGTCATCTCATTATGCATTCCCACCAGCCATGAATGAGAAATCCTGTTGCTGCACATCCTTAGCAGTGTGAGCAGTGTTAGTGTTCTAGATTTTGCCCATCCTAACACTCATGAACTGGTATCTCATTGTTGTTTTAGTTTGTCTTTCTGGATGACATATATCCATCATCTTCTTTGTATCAAAGAAGATGTATCCATATCTTCTTTGATAAGGCATCTTCAAAGGTTTTAGGCCATTTTTAAATTGGGTTGTTTTCTTACTGTTGAGTTATTGGCATATATTAGATAATAATCCTTTAATGGTTGTGCCTTTTACAAATACTGTCTCCCGATCTGATGACTTGGCTTCTCACTCTCTTGATATTGTCTTTTGTAGAGCAAGAGCTTTATAATTTCATTGAAGTCTCATTGCCTCTTTCATAGATCCTGCCTTTGGTTCCTTATCTAAAAGTCCATAATGTACCGACAGTCATCTAGGTTTCCTCCAATCTCATCTTTTAGGAGCTTCATAATTTTGTATCTTACACTTAAGTCTATGATCCATGTTGACTTAGCTTTTGTGAAGATTGTAACATTGTGTCTGGATTACTGTCTTGTCATGTGTCTTGTCCAGTGTACCAGCACCATTTGTTGAAAAGACTACCCTTGCTCCATTGTGTTGTCTTTGCTCCTTTGATAAAGATCAGTTGACTCCTTGGATCTATTTCTGGGCTCATTTTTCTCTTTCAATGATTTATTCACTTGATCTTCTGCCAATGCCAAGAGTATAGCTTTACATTAAGTTGAACTTAAATCTGCAGATCTTGACTGCACTTTCCTGGTAACACTTTAGGCATCCTTCCTTCTTCCACCCCTCCCACCCCAGACCTCTGTCTTAGCTATTTTAGTTGGAACTTAAAGTCAACTATGTGACTTTAAGTTCTGCTTTCTCCACCAAAAAGATAAAGATGTTAGGTCTTCCTAGCAAAACTCCTTACAGAGAGGAGTTTACATCTAAAAATCAATAGAAACCTCCACCCAGCCTTCAGAACTCCTCCCCCAAAGCAAGCTTTTGCCAAAAACACTTATTTTGCAATGGCATGTTTTCACTCCCCTACAACTGTTTTTAGAACTTTCTTTCGCATATGCGTTTATTGCTTTATATTTCCCTAGAAGCCTGTTCTCTCTGCATTTGATAATCTCTGCTTTCATTTTCATTCTGTGCAAACTATTTTTAAGTTTGAGGTTTCTTCTGTGACCCATATATTATTTAGAAGTGTGTTGTTTAATCTGAATATTTATTTAGGAATTTTCCAGTTATATTTCTGTTATTGATTTCTACTTTAAATCCATTGTGGTCTGAGAGTGAACATTATATGATTTCCATTTTCTTAAAACTTGCTGAGGTGTGTTTTATGGCCAAGAATGTGATCTCTCTTGGTGAATGTGTGTTTTAATGTTGTTGGATGAAGCAAACACATGTCAGTTATATACAGTTATAATGGTGTTGCTGGATTCAACTAAGTCCTTACCGATTTTCTACTAGTAGCTAGAGTTTTCTTTTTTTATTGTTGTTAACTTTATAAGAGATTTTATAATGATTGTACCAGCTTACACCCCTACCAGCAATGTAAGAGATTTGTGGTATCTTCACATCCTTAATGTATTCTCCCAGCTCAGAGCTATAAGCATAAACATCTGATATTTCTTATTAAACTTTCAGGCACCAACGCCCTTGATGCAGATTAGTGTGTGTTAGGGAAGATAGGTGACTTATTTATGAAGATTTCCAAAGGGCTAATAAAATCCAAGAAAATGAAGATGCAGACTTAATAATGGCTACCATTACAAAATGGCCCCCACTTTTAAGGTGCTGTGTTGTATATTTTACACACATCATAAGCCATCAAGGCAGGATAGTAATAGAGGCATTCTCCATGAAAAGGGGAGGAGCACTGCATATTGAACGGGCACCATTTCCCCTACCTCCACTTACATGTAGACACCTTGGATCACAAGTCCAAGTATGCCTTGATCTGGAATTTCTGAGTAGGAGAGCTGCTGGGAAATGATGGTAGATTTGAGTGTACTGTAAAACATAGAAGCCAGGTAGCCCAGATATCCTCCTTTCCCAGTTTCAACTTGTACATAAGAACTTGGAGGAGAGTCATGGAGGAGAGTCATAGAGAGACTCTTGGAAGAGATACACAGGTGAGATAGATGAGAGACACATGGGGTGGGACAAGGGCAGGTAAGGGGGCTGCTTCCAGTCCTTGGCAGTGACAATGACAGCCATTGTCCTGACTTCATGGTGGATTATTTGGTATAGTTTGAGTTCTCATACACTTCTTCAGTCCCAGGTTTCTGACAACTGCCTAATCTCTTTCTTGTAGTTCCCCACCCAAAAAGTACCTTAGACAAACTTGGGGCTCAGCAGCCTCCATTCATGCCAGGCTTGCTTAGCTGGGCATTTGCCCATGAGGGGATGGGTTATTGTGGTGGTGTTTTGTTTTTTTTTTTCTTTTTGGAAACTAATATTTCTTTTCTACATACACTAATTCTATGAAAGAAATTTCACACTAAGGATACGCTTCCTTTGCTTTTGTGAAAAGATAGTTGAACCTCTTTTAGAGTATGCACAGCTTAAGAGTTTGGGGCCCCTGAGTACCCCTCATTCTAACTGTTAATGTTCCCATTTTACAGATAAAGAAACTGGCTGTCACAAATCCCAGAAATTTATATTATTATAAATAAACAGAGAATAGTCACAAGTGAGGTGAAAACCTCTAAGGGTTCCAGAGGCCTCAGTTTGCTTCACAAAACTGATCACCTGAGAATCTTATTGAAATGCAGATTCTAGTTGTTATATGGAGGGATAGTGCAAAATTTGCATTTCTAAGTAGCTCCTGAGTGCAAATTTACTGGGGCTCATATCACACTTTGAGTAGCAAGGGTTTATCTTTAGCTCCTCACAATATCTAGTGGATTGCTGTGTGTAGTGATTTTGGATGTAGTCTCCTGGGAGTAAAGAAAGGAGATAGTGCCACTTTCTCCTCCCAAAAGATGACAAGAGAAGACTGTTATGTATGACCAGCTAGGTATCTGTTTGTTATTTACTATGTCACAAAAGACTGCTAATAGATGTTTACCTACACCCAGTGCTAGAGTCCAGAGCAGATGATATCAGGAAATGACTTAAACCAACCACAAATTAGTTTCTATCAGTGAGATACCCTGATATAAGCATGCACCTCAACCTTCTTCCTAACAACAGAAAGGAAATAAATCTTTTAAAGATATGGGTGACAAAGTAAGGAAACTGCAAAACTGGAATTATGAACTGGATGATGGCTGAGATATTAATAGCAGATTGACTGACAAACATCCCTGGACAACGGAAAAAATTCTTAGTCACACTGGCACAGAAATATTATAGATATTACAGAGGTATAAGCAGAACAAAAATGCCAAGATTACACATGTTTGAGTGTAAATGTGACATTAAGACAGTAAAAAATCGGGGATTCCCTGGTGGTGCAAGGGGTGAAGCACAGCACTGTGAAGCTATCTGCAGCCTCTACTGCACAAGTTCGATCCCTGGCTGGCCACATGGCTCAGCAGACCTCTCCTGTCTCGTCTGCTGCTCCCCTCAGCAGTATATTTCAGTAGATCCGCCTGTTCTGTTCCCCACTCTGTCTCTGATGAATCCTTTCACACACACCCCACCCAGCACCACTGGCCTGTACCCCAGTTCTTATATGCATAAATAAATAAGTCTTTTTAAAAAGACAATAAAAGGGGTTTAAGAAGGAGGAGATACAATAAGACTTGCATTAAAAAAATAAATAAATAAACCTTTGGGAGGCAATTTAGACAACACATGGTATGGTAGTGGCAGAGAGGTTACTTAATTTACGTTACCACTGTTCTCAAGTAGTGATCCCCAGACCAGCAGCATCAGGATCACTGGGACCCAGTTAGAATTGCAATTTTTGGGAACTATCTCTAGAGTTACTGGGTCAGATAGTCCAGAGTTGAAACCCAACAATCTGTGTTTTGATGATTGTTATTTATGCTGAAATTTAAGAATCACTGGGCCATGAAATAGGGCCGATAGGAAATGATGAGCAGT